TAAGCCCTACAACGTTCAATAGACTCCTGTGAACCTAGGTGGAGACCTGGTTGGCCAGCAGTGTGGCAAGACCTGGGGACTCTTGGGCCCATAGTCAGTGACAGAGCCACAGAGGACTAGAGTGGAGAGTGAAGCGTCCAGCTGATAAGAAGAGAGGGCATATGCATAAGAACACCCACACTTGCAAATAATACCCACTTGACCTGACTTCAATGACTGGATGATCAGAGCTCAATGAGAAGAAAAAAAGAGTAATCTGATACAATTTGATGAACTGGACCTACACCTATGGATGCAGTAGCACAAAAGAGGGAACAAATCCTTACAGGGAGGATCATTCCCACCCCCTCAATACACAGAGTAGACAGGGATGAGCAATTTAGACACTACCAAAATGGGGGGTGGGGAGTGGGCTACAAAGGCAAGAAATGACTGGCTTACAAGCTTTCAAGAGGGAACCTAGATTCAGAGGGCGTGAAGGAAGGTAGAATCTCCACTGAGTAGGATCCAATCTGTCTGGGCAGGGCTGATGAAAGGAGATGCAGATAGGTCTCTTTTGATACAATAGTGAATAATTATTATCAGGACTGACTGTGAGGGTTGCAAATGTAAAGGTAAGACTTTTTGTAGCAAGGGGGGGAGTGACTGATTTTGCAGTCCAGGAGCGGAGGTCCTGTGACCATCACGGGAGAAGAGCGGAGAGCAGGACCCTACCCAGAAAAGCAGTGACGCCAGAGATAGAGGCAGAGACGATGATGTGGAGAGATGGAGCAGTTAGGGACTTTAGACCCAGAGAGGGAGAGGGGCTGTGTGCTGACGGATGGGGGTCAGGCTTGCAGGGTGTATTACCCTTTGGTTGGTTGATAATGCATGGAGGGGATTGTAACCATGGCAATGAAATGATATACACTAGGATGAATGTAAAACTAATGTTCTCCCATGTAAATTATCACATAATTCACAATAAAATATTTTAAAAAAGAGAGAGAAAATAGAGTGACATAGAGAAAGAGATCAAAGAAAAACAATTCAAGGCAACTTCTCAGAAGTGACACACATGAATTTCAGATAGAAAGAAGCCACCAACAAAGTTGTTTGGAATTAAGTTGACAAAAATTATTCTTCTTCCAGCCAAACTATACATCTAGTGTGAGGATTAGATGTATGTCAGATGCATGTTTCAGATACGTGTCTCAGAATCTTATTTCCACTTTGTAGGTAAACCAAAATGAGTAAGCCAAGTAGGAAGAGTCCTAAGATCCAGGAAGCAACAGACGACTACCTGCCTTGTTTTTGATCTGCTCTGTCCTTGCCCAGTTCTAGCCCACCTCACTCTCCAGTCAGCAGGATGTACACTCAGAGTATGGGGGCTCTACATGCTTTCTAGGGTAGGGAGAGGAAATGGATGTGGGGAGCATTCTTGGCTCCTGGAAGGTTTTACTGAAGATGAAGTAGTGGTGGGAGGGGCTGTGGGGTCAGTGGTGGGGTTAGGTTTTGAGAACAGAAGAGCTGGATTGGATTGGACACTGCAGGGGATGGTCTGGGAATGGGGGGGATACCTGATTAGGGTCAGGAATATACCTGGTAGTGTCCATGAGGAAGGCTCAGGGTGCTCTGTGGCCCCACCCCCACGGTGCCACAGTGCTCCATCTTACCTGGAGAGAAACTGTCCTCAGCTTCTTCCTGCCACAGAGCCTCTGGGTGTTCCCTCCATAAGGGTCCCTCAGGCGCAGCCGTACTGTGGGAAGAGGTGTGCTCCAGCACTGTCCCAGAGCTCTGAAACCACAGTGGTTACAGCTTATGTTTGCTGTGCTGGGCCTAGGGAGAGGCTAAATGGATGCCCCCCTTCCCCCACTGGGCAGGGAAGAAGGGCATGGCTGGCATTGGGAGCTCACCTGGCCATCTGCAGGCAGGAGGGTGGGTAGGGTCTTCTGGGCAGTAGCATGAGCCTCAGACTCCAGGGGAGCTGAGGAAGAAGGGCAGGGTCAGCTAGGCCCAAGGGTGTCCCTGACTTTCTGCCCTCCTCACCTCCTCAGTGTTTGCTGGAAGTGAGGGAGCATAGATGTCCCACCCAGGGGGAGAGGGCAAAGAAGGGATAAGATGGTGAGGGATCTAGGACGAGCAAGAGCTGGGGTGTGGGCTTGGCACATGGACAGGCTGGGGGTGGGGACGCTTCCTGAAGGCTGGTGGGTGGAGCTGTGGTGGGACAGGTGGACTTAGGTAGACTCGGGTGAGTGCTCCGGCAATCTTGGCAGGGAGGCCACTGGGAGTAGGGTGAAGCGAACAATCTAAGGATTCATTGCTGGAATACTGGAGAGAGAAGGCTCTTGTCCCTAGCCCAGGAGGTGAGCAGGGTAAGTGAGGAAGGAAGAGACAGACCCTCTTCAACACTGGCCGGATCCGCACTACAGCCTGTACTGCCCGCTTCCCAGCTGCTGACTTTTGTCCCGCAAGAAGTGGATTTTTGAAGAGTGAGCTCCATGTGCCTAACACCCACAGGAAACCCCAGTAGCTCACTATGGGAGAACCTGACATGTTGTATCATGCTTGCAGTGGACACCTGCTGGGCTGCGCTGTGGGGGCCAACAGTAAGTGGGATTCATTAGTCTGACAGGGGTCTAGCTGACTGGACTACTGGGACTAGGCCCACCCCACTTCTCCCAACCACCCAAGTCTGGACTTAGACCCAGCCCACCCTGCCTGTCCTCACCTGGGTCCTCTGTGACCTCTGGCTCCTCTTTCACCTGAAGGCGCAGAGGCAACTCGTGCATGGCCCCCTGGTGTGTCACTGGCCCAGGCTCTGGTGTCTGGGGCTGGAACCTGGAGGGCTCTGTCTTCTCTGATAACACCTCCTGGCCCCATACCTGGACTGTAACCTGGGGAGTTGCTGGCCATCAGGACTCCAGGCAGGGAGATGACGCCTGCTCACCCCACCACAGGATACCTAGGACTATGCCTGGAAAATGCCTACTGTTAGGGTCGTCCATGAACCCGCCTTCCATGGGGCCTGAGCCGGGAGCCAGGGAAGAGGGTAAAGTATTCCCCCTGTGAGCCACCAATGGCAGCTTGTGATGTCCTAGCCTCACATCCCAGCTCTTCCAACATGCACGACTCCAGGTTACCTAGGTCTGAGCCTTCAGACTCTGCTGGGGTCTCCCCTGCTACTGATCACGTTAGCACCTGGAGGCAAGTATCTATCCTAGTATGGTGCCGGAACCCTCCACCTATGGCTAAAGACTCACCCATCTCCGTGGGCCACCCTGCTCCCGACGCAGCCTCTCAACAAGGGCCACAGCCTCCTCGGGGTTTCTGGGCTGCTGCCCTCGCACGCAGGCCTGGATCTCGGCGGGCAGTGCACCCAGGAACTGCTCCAGCACCAGTAACTCCAGCATTTGCTCCTTGGAGCGCGCCTCAGGCTGTAGCCACTGGCGGCAGAGCTCACGCAGTTGGGCCAGGGCTTCATGGGGCCCAGCTGCCTCATGGTAGCAGAAATGCCGGAAGCGCAGGCGAGCAGCCTCGCTCTCCTCCTCAGAGTCCTCGAGCTTCACCGTGACGGGCCCTCCGTCTTCCAGGGGCATGGGGTCTGGGAACCGCAGCGCAGCGGGCCTCATTGGGAGGACAGGAGGGGATGCCTGAGGTCAGTGTCCACCCCTGGGGGAGGAATGGGATGTGGCCCCTGGGATAAGGACAACGACAACGAATGTTGATTGTGTCTACTGTATGCTGCACTGTTCAAATCTCAGACAGTTGTGGAAGACAGATCAGGGCACTGAGGTACATAGAGGCAGGTCACGTGCCAGGCAGTCCTGGACACATGAGCTACCCTTGTCCTCTCCAGCTGTCTGTGAAAATCTCTTGTAGCCTTCGGTTCCCAGCACAAGCTGTTTCCACAGTTCAGAGATACCCTCTCTCACCCCGTCCATGTTTTACATGTACCACCTCATCTCTAGCTTGCAGCCCTCCCACCAAGAGACAGGTGGCACCTACACCATTCAGCACCTGGGCACTGGCACCAGTAGGTGTCCCCCCTAATTCCCACTACCAGCCCATCATTTTGATATCCATGGCCCCATACAATATACCTCAGATGCAGCTTTTCGCTACGACATCAGCAACACCAGGGCAACCTTCCCAGCCTGCCTTTACCTGAATGAGGTCCCCAGTGTGGCACAGCCTTCAGGATGTGCCCAATTTATCACACCACAATGAGCCATCAACCCTCTGAGCCCAATTTATCACACCACAATGCCTCATCAACTTCTGCCTGGGCTGTTAAACCTCAGCTTTCTGATTGAGATGGCCCTAGGAGGTGATATGGGAGGGCGCCTGCAAAGGCCGAGAGCACTGGATCGGAAGTCTGCATAAGCTAGGTCTGATCCATTGCTACATGACTTGTATATCCCGGTGCCTCTGAGAGCCTCAGTTCATCTGCAAGGAAGAAAGATCCTAGCCCACGCTGATGCTTATGCACCTGGTGGAATGCACGGCCTTTGTAGAGAAGTGTTTATTAAAGCGGTGGCCCCTTAGAGGTAATTTCCGTCGATGGAATCAATTTCGAGGGCCATCTAACCACATGGGTCAAATCTCCGCTCCTCGAGGCCCCAGATCAACCCGAAGGAAACCCTGGGAGAAAGGTGGACCATCGCCAAGCCGGTCGGACTCTGGGAGAAGCCAGACTACATTTCCCAGCAGGCTCTGCAGACAACATCCGCTTAAATGCGAGACTGCGGGTCCCGGTAGCGCCTAGGCAACCAGGGGCTGGGATCGCAGAGCCTGTTGCCATGGCAATGCGCGGTGATTGATGGGCATCGCACGACTTTGCGGGGTCCGCCTGCCGGAAATACTCAGGCCTCACCCTGCCTTGCTGGTTCTTCTGGGCAGCAAGAACCCTCCAGTGCGGAACCACCGCACCTGTCTCCGTCCGAATCTTCTCGGTTACAAGGCCCCCGCCCTCACCTCCGCGCCCAGAGGGCCGCTCCGCGCTCCTGAGCATGCGCACTGGCCTTCCCTTCCTGGTCAGACTACGTTTCCCAGAAGGCTCAGCGCACTTGAGCGCCCCTTGCTCCTCCCCCACCCTCGCCTCCGTTCCCGCCCCCGCCCTTTTCCGTTCCCGGGGGTAGCGGTGGTCGCAACGGTCAGGTCACGCTCCGGGCCGCCGCTTTCTGCGCTTTCCTTCTCTGATCCCGGTGTCCAGCCGTTGTCGACGTGCACAAGCTTCTCGAGGGGCAACGTCCTTCAGCGCCGTCTTCCCGACTGCGCACGCATCTCATCACATTTCTTTCTAGTCACTACAGGCCTCTGAGATTAGCAGGCCGCTGCACCAATCACCACCTTAGCCAAGATGCCCTAAACCCGCCCGCTTCACGCATCTCCATGGTAACCTTCTGCCGGGAAGGGGAGGTGCCCTCTCACAGGCCTCCAGGTCAGCAAAACCGGGAGGCTCAAACCGCTGTTTTCTGGATTGTGTAGCGATTGTAGCCCTCCATGTAGACTTTCATAGCGCGATGGTGTTCCTGTGTTTTTGGGTGGTAGGCGGGCCCTGGCGTCTCCAGGACAACCTGGGAGAGAAAGCAAGCGTCTCACATGTGGGCTGGGAGTGTTAGGGAGGGGAGGGAGAGATTCAGAGACAGGAGTCCTGGTGTTCACAGAGACATGTGGCTAGGGAAAGACCTGAAGCCGAGACAGAGACCCCAGAGTCTGCGAGTTGCTGAGCCTCTGGACAGGGAGAGGTAGTGATGAGAGTGAAAGAGCAGCAGAGACTGAGACAAAGAGATACAGATAGCCAACGTTTGTGAACGCAGAGGGAAAGACAGTGAAAGCAAGTGAAGAAGGCATTGTTAGGTGCCATGGAGTCGGTACCGTCTCACAACGAACGACCCTATGCACAACAGCATGAAACACTGCGCAGTCCTGGGCCAACCTCACCCGTGTTGCCACGCTCGAGCCCACTGATGCTGCCACTTTGTCAATCCATCTCGCTGGGGGTCTTCCTCTTTTTTTTTTGACCCTCCACCTTACCAAACGTGACATCCTTCTCCTGCGACTGGACTGCTCCCTCCTGACAATATGTCCAAAGTATGAGAGATGAAGTTTGGCCATCCTGGCCTCCAAGGAGCACTCTGGCTGCACTTCTTCCAACACAGATCTGTTGGTTCTTTTGGCAGCCCATGGCACTTTCAATACTCTCCTCCAACACTGTAACTCAAAAGCATCAATTCTTCTACGGTCTTCCTTATTTGCTGTCCAGCTTTTACATGCATATGAGGTTATTGAAAATACCATGGCTTGGGTCAGGTGCACCTTAGTCCTCAAGCTGACATCTTTGCTCTTCAACACTTTAAAAAGGTTTTGTGCAGCAGATTTGTCTACTGCAATAATACATCATTTGATTTCTTGACTGCTGCTTCCATGAGTGTTGATGGTTGATCCAAGAAGAATAAAGTCTTTGACAACGTCAATATTTTCTCCATTGATAAGAATGTTGTTTATTGGTCCAGTGGTGAGGATTTTTGTTTTCTTTACATTGAGATGCAATCCATACCAAAGGCTGTGTTCTTTGATCTTCATTAATAAGTATTTTAAGTCCTCGCCCACTTTCATTAAGGTGACCCAATGGAGTGTGGAAATCATCAGACAATATCTTTGATATCCCATGTGATTTTTACTAAAGGTAATACAGAAATGGCTGCAAGCATACACTGATAAGAGAACTTTCAGAGGTTCAAGCTGGATTAAGAAGAGGATGTAGAACAAGGGATATCATTTCTGATGTCCGATGGATCTTGACTGAAAGCACATAATACCAGAAAGATGTTTACCTGTGCTTTATTGACTAGGCAAAGGCTTTCGAGTGTGTGGATCATGACAAGCTATGGACAACATTGTGGAGTATGAGTATTCTTAATTGTGCTCATGAAGAAACTGTATATGGACCAAGAGGCAGTTTGAACAGAACATGGGAACACTGAATAGTTTAAAAATAAGAAAGGTGTGCCACTGGGTTCTATTCTTTCACCAAACTTATTCAACCTGTATGCTGAGCAAGTAATCAGAGAAGCTGGGTTCTATGAAGAAAAACATGGCATCAGGATTGGAGGAAGACTCATTAACAACCTGCAATATGCAGATGATATAACCTTGCTTGCTGAAAGTGAAGAGGAAACATAGAGATTGAGAAACAGAATCAGAGACACGTGGGTGTAAGATAAAGTTCTCAGAAAAAGCATGATAAGACACAAGGATCAGTTAGAGATGGGGAGGCAGATAGAACAGTGAGAGTGAAATCAAGATAGATAAATCAGGAAGGGATGAAGAAGGAAGAAAAAGGAGAGGGGTGATGGATTGAGAAAAGAGGTGTATGAGACTCAAGAAACTGTTACAGGAGGACAGAAGCAAGAGAGAAGAAAGGGACAAAAATCGAGGTACAATAAAATTGGTTGAGACATTTCAAAGATCCAGAGATAGATGACAGCAAGAGAGATGGAGAGAGTCAGAGGTAAAAAGTTGCCTAGTGTTGTCCACCAACTCACCTGACTCACTAAGTAAAGAAACTCTTTTGAATGTAATCACTTTGGATCAGAAGGAGCCCCTGGTAGCGTAGTGGGTATGCGTTGGGCTGTTAACCACAAGCAAAGAGATGAGGTTTTCCTTTCAATGGCACACTATCATCACCACTTTTGATCAGAATGCAGATGCTGTGAATTTAAATACTAACTTGTGAAAGGTTGATGTTAGGTGCCATGCAGGTGGTTCCAACTCACAGTGACCCTGTTCACAACAGAATGCCACACTGCCCCGTGCTGGGTCCTACAGCATCCTAGTTACAGTTGAGCCCATTGCTGCTGCCACAGTGTCAATCCATCTCTCCATCTCAGTGGGCTCTTCCTCTTTTTCACTTACCCTCCACTTTACCTAGCATGATGTCCTTCTTTAGCATATGATAATATGTCCGGAGTATGAGAAATGAAGTTTCACCTTTCTGCCTATACTTCTTCCAACACAGATTCATTTATTCTTCTGGCAATCCTGGTACTTTTAATATTCTTCTTCAACATCATAACTCAGATACATCACTTCTTCTAAGGTGCTTTGGGTCTAGTAGACAAGAGAATCCCAAAAGCTATGGTTGTATCACTTGTAGGACATAACCATTTTTTTATTCCAGTTTGCACACTCTGTGGAGTCCAGTTGTGGTCCTGTGGGTTAATGTGCTAGAGTGCAAGGTCGGTTTGGACCTCAAGATTTGGCGGTTCAAGCTCACCAGTTGCTCCTTGGAAACCCTATGCAGGGTGGCTGAATTGGAACCCACTCAATAGCACTTAACAACAATGGCGTCCTGGAGTGGAGCTCTGGGTTAAGGCTCTGGAATGAAGAGTCAGTTTGAACTGCAAGGTTGGTGGTTCAAGTTCACCAGTCACTCCTGGAAACCCTATACAGGATCGCTATGGGTAGGAACTTACTCGAGAGCACTTATAACAATAGTTCTTGCTCATTTCTTCCTGAAACCACCAAAATTATTTTGTTGGTTCCTTTGGTGGTGATTATGTGTGGTGGCCTCGGTTTTGATTCATAGCGACCTTGTCCAGGGTTTCCAAGGCTTTAAATCTTTATGGGGGCAGAAAGCGTCACCTTTCTTCTGTGGAACCACGGGCATTTTAGAACGGCTGACTTTGAAGTTAGCAGCCCAATCCGTAACCACTACGCTACCAGAGCTCCTTTGTTGGTCCCTTTAGTGAGGTAAATATGACGTGTGTACTGCTGATTTTCATATTTTGGTAGAAATCAGGTTTTGATGTTCTGAAGAGAATTAGTTCTATGGGATGGGAGAGTTGTTTGCTGTGGAGTCGGTTCCGACTCATAGCGACCCTGTACAGGGTTTCCGAGGCTGTAAATCTTTAGGGGAGCAGAAAGCCTTGTCTTTCTCCCGTGGAACAGCTTGTAATTTTGTACTGCTGACCTTGAGGTTCGCAGCCCAATTCGTAACAACTATGCTAGGCACATAACCACCACCACCACGCTACCAGAGATCGGGAGAGTAGATGGAGAAAAAAACCTTTCCCTGGCAGAAGCAGCCTCGAGCGCCCCCTCAAGGATGTAGTGCGCCCCGGAAACGCCCCCAAACTACATTTCCCGGAAGCCCTTGAGGCGCCGTCTGGGACGGGTTTGTCGCGGCCTCCAGCGAGTCCGGCCGTTGCCAGGCAACCGTGTCCCGCCTCCCTTCGGCCCCCCAGCGGACAAGATGGAAGCTGGGCTCCGCCGCCTCCAGGAAGCGGTGCTGTGAGGTGGGAGAGGGATAGAGGACGCTACTCCAGTGGCTCACATGAAGTAGGCGGCCCATGTTACAGCCCGGAGGTGAGGGCCGGCGGCCGCGCGGGAGCCCGAGATTAGAAGGCACGAGCTATTGCACCACCTCGTTCAACTTCGGTCTGGGGAGGGAAACGGAGTGATGGCGCAGCGCGCGCAACCCGTGACGCGCTCAGGTGGGCCAATCGGAACCTTTGGTGGCCCCACAGTCGTCTGGGAAAGACAGGCCCGCCGTGCGGGATGTGATGACTCAGTTCCAGTTCTTTTCCTATAACGTGCAGGGATGTCCTGCGTCTTTCAGGCCCTACTGTCCACTCGCGGGGCTTTTCCATCTTTAAGCGCGTGCTCGCTTTCCGTTTGTCCTCCCGGCGTCTGGGAAATGTAGTTCAGAGGGGCGATCTCCGTTTCCTATTCAGTCCTTGGGCGGCGAGCCTTCCCCGGTGGTGGCGGGCTTGAGGGCTACTTCCCGAGAGGGGGAGCGCGCGAGCGCATGGAGATGGGTGAGAGAGGGAATGAATGAATGAGTGAATTAGCTGAATTAGTGGGTGAACTTGGGAAGCATGGGTGGGTGGGTGCTGTGAACACGAATGGATCAGCTTCCTGGCAGGAATCTTGCCCATGACCACCTGCTTTTCCCTGCCTCCTCGGGGGATTGAGCTCTGGACTGCGTGCTGTGTTTGGTGGTCTTGTCTCAAGCTAGGTGAGTCCTGAGTTCCTGAAGGATCTAGTCCTAGATGTTGTAACTACCCAACAAATACAGATCCCAGATCCGCTGTGTGTGTGTCTGCTTTACAAAGGCACTCCTTTTTTTTTTTTTTTAAGGTTTTTATTGTGGATTGAATGAAAGTTTACAGGGCAGATCATCAATTTTATATTCAACAAATCATACACTTTGTTTCATTACATTGATTATAATCCCCTCCATGTACCATCAGTTAACAGTATTTCTTTATATTCATTTTAGCTCTTTTTTTCTTAAACACTCAGGCATATATAATAATTTACACCACCAAAAGGCAAATTCTGCAAGTCTGCCTCCTGGCCACCAGCTTTTAGTCCCGCTCTTCCCATGAATCTAGAGTCCTCAGCTGCTCCTGCTCTCCACGGCCCCATCTTTGCTTCCATCTCTGGTGTCGCTGCTTCTCTGGAAAAGGTCCCGCATTCTGCTTGTACTCTTCTCTCCTGATGGTCCTAGGGGCCTCTGTTTCTGGACTGTAAGATTAACTACTCGCCTGTTTTTGTTATAAAACTTCTACCTTTACAATTGTGACAGTAGCAATTAGTCATGATAACAATTACTATTGAATTATAAGAATCTTATCCCCATCTCTTTTCACCAGACCCATCCAGACAAGATGAAAATTATTCAGTGGTTTCTCCCCTCCCCAACATTATTAAACTAAACTCCCCCTTGAAACCTTGTAAGCCAGCACTTCGAGCCTTTATGACCCCCTCATTTTAGGTAACCAATATCTAAGTTGCCCATCCCTATCTGTCCTGTGTACAGAGGGGTTAGCATTGATACTTCATGTGAAGACTCCTTCCCTCTCTGTTGGTATTTAGAGTTACTACTTCTGTGAGTATAGGTCAAATACTCATAATTTCTTGCATTTGCTTTAGCTACATTTTAGAGCAAATTTCAGAATCTGATTTGACATTTTGGTCTTTTCTTTCTTTCTTGTCTTTTTAGTGACTTTTTACTTTCCTCAGGTATGATGCCCTTGATCTCATCCAGTAACCGATCTTGACTGTGGTCATTAGTGTTCACAGTGTGTCTAACTTATTTTCGACACGGTTTCTAAATTCAGATGGGGTGTATTCAAGGTTTAGGAGCATGCTGGCTCCATAGGACAAGTACTGACTGCGAACCTCAGCCTGCAGTTGCAGCCCAGCAGCTTCTCCATGCGAGAGAGATAGGCTTCCTGTTCCCACAAAGACTCACAATCTCGGAAACCCTCGATGGGATCCAGAGGAGCGTTTTGTTTCTCCAGTATTTTTATGTTTTGACGATTTCTCATGTTTCTTTAAAGGCTATAGTGGCACAGGTTGTTTCAGGGAGAGACCAGTCCACCGACTGAATTTCTCTTTGGAGTAGCTTATGTGTATCTGGACAGTCTGCACACACTTTCTGGATGGTGTTGGTTCACTAAAGCAGAAGGCCTTTGACAGGGTCCTTTCCGTCTCACTCACCAGCTGCCTGGAAAATTCAAACTTACTTACAGAAGGAAGATTGAATAACTTTGTTAGGGGTGGTGATGTGAATTGCCCACTCAGTAAGTACATGTTTGTTTTTGCACACGGTTTGTTTTTAAAAATAATATTTAAAAAAATGTTTTATTGTGAATTATGTCATAGTTTACATGGAAGAACATTAGCTTTACATTCATCCTATCGTATATTGTTACATTGTCATGGTTACAATCCCCTGTATGCATCATCAACCAACCAAAGGGCACACCCTACAAGCCTGCCTCCCAGGTTGTCAGCACACAGCCCCTCTCCCTCTCTGGGTCTAGAGGCCCTAGCTGCTCCATCTCTCCACGTCATCATCTCTGCCTCCATCTCTGGTGTCACTTCTTCTCTGGGTAGGGTCCCGCTCTCCGCTCTTCTCCCGTGATGGTCCCAGGGACCTCCGCTCCTAGACTGCAAAATTAATCACTCCCCTCCTTGCTACAAAAAGTCTTAACCTTTACATTTCCAACCCTCACAGTCAGTCCTGATAACAATTATTCACTGTTGTATCACAAGAGACCTATCTGCATCTCCTTTCATCAACCCCCGCCCAGACAGATTGGATACTACTCAGTGGATATTCTACCTTCCTCCATGCCATCTGGATCTAGGCTCCCTCTTGAAAGCTTGTAAGCCAGTCACTTCTTGCTTTTGTAGCCCCCCACTCTGGTAGCCAGTGTCCAAGTTGCCTATCCCTGTCTACCCTGTGTATGGAGGGGGTGGGAGTGATCCTTGCTGTAAAGATTTGTTCCCTCTTTTAAGCAACTGCATCTATAGGTGTAGGTCAGGTTCATCAAATGGTATCCAATTACTCTTTTTTTCTTCTTCTTCTAGTTGAGCTCTGATCATCCAGTCATTGAAGCCAGGTCAAGTGGGTATTACCTGCAAGTGTGGGTGTTCTTGTGCATGTTCCCTCTCTTCTTATCAGCTGGACGCTTCACTCGCCACTCTAGTTCTCTATGGCTATGTCACTGACCCTGGGCCCAAGAGTCCCCCGGTCTTGCCACACTGCTGGCCAACCAGGTCTCCACCCGGGTTCACAGGAGTCTGTTGAAAGTGGTAGGACTTAGCTCGCAGCTTCATTGCTGTATTTCCCTCACTTCCCCTTGTCGGTGACCAGCATCACCAGTCAGAGCACGTGTCTGCTCGTATATTCCCCTTGAGTCTCTGTTTTGGAAGGAGGTTTGCCCTGAGGGGACCTGACCTCTTGCCTTGTTGTCTCTTGGGGGAGCATCTTGCTTGTTCTTGTAGCAATCAGTTGGTCTGCCTAAATTGTTTTGTATTTTTTCTGTTGGTCTTTCTTTCAAGAAGTATCTTCTGTTCTTCTAGCCCCTCCAGGCTGGTCTGCTTGTCCTTTGAAGTGGAAATTTCCCACCTCAGAAGATTCTGGATGGGGTTCAGGATTCCACCTTTAGTCTTATGTAATGCAGAGGCTTCACAAGAAGCCTCCTTCACTGGGCACATTGTATCCCCATTTTAAGTATTCCAATCAGTTATAGGCAGAGGATGGACTTACAAGCTTTCTATGGTGATATTTCTGGCTATCACTTTCTCTCCCCATCAAGTGTCTATTTTATAATGGTATACAAGGGAAACCAAGAAGGAGCTATGGTAGCATAGTTGTTATGAATTGGGCTGCGGACCGTTCTTAAGGTTAGCAGTTCGAAACTACCAGCTGTTCCGCGGGAGAAAATGAAGCTTTCTGCTCCCGTACAGATTTACAGCCTCGGAAACCCTGTATAGGGTCACTAGGACTCAGAACCGACTCGACAGCACATAACCACCACCACCACTAAGGGAAACCAAGATTCAAAAGAAAGCCAAGCATCTTAATATTATTTCCCCCATTTTGCCCATTCCAAGCATGCAAAGGCAATCGTTTTTAAAGTTTTATTTTTGATCTGGTGCTACATTCACATGGTTCAAAGTGCAAAACTGACAAAGTGAGAAGGCTGCCTCCCAGTGCTGTGTTTCATTTGAGAAATACTCAGAAAGTGCCTCTGGATGTGTGTTATCAGTAGAATTATCTCCTGCTCTCAGGCAGCTTCTTATAGAACAGAAAAAAATTAGTGCGGTGGAGGAGCCGAGATTTGCAGGAGGTGGAGAAGAGTGCTGGTCTGGTCCAAAGGTCTAGCAAAGGCTGAGTTGGTGGAGAATTGGAGAGAAATGGAAGTCATGGGAGGGTTCCATGCAGGAGGTGGAACAAGAACTGAGTTTGGTTTTAATGATCTATTTAAAAACTTTTATATATATATATACATACGTATATAGTGAATTGAGTGAAGGTTCTTGGAGCAGATCATCAGTTTTACATCCAACAAATCATAGACTTGGTTGTATTTCAATGATTGCAATCCTCTCCATGTAACATCAAGGATTGCTCTGTGATTTTTTTGTTTTCATTCCACTTTCTTTTCCAACTCTTCTGAATTTTGTCAATTTAGGAAAATGGCGCCCTTTGATCTCCAATGGTTGGCCATTCCATGGTGTACATACCTCGTTAGTATTGCCCCCCTCTCTCGCTCTATATTGCTTGTCTGAAAATGGAACCATGAGGGTGATGAAGGGCTGTATAGTCTCAGAGTCCTCTAGTCTCTTTCTGACCAGTAAACCTGTTCTTTTTATAAAAGTAATTTTGAACGTTGTTCAACATCTTCTCCCACTGTATCTAGGACCTTCTAATTTGATTCCTTTCAGAACAGTTCACAGTGGGAGCAGGACATCATCTAGTTCTGGTCTCAGGTTTAGGGAGAGTGACGAGATCATGTGTCCCATTGTTCTCTCGGACTAATTAATTCCTGACTTGGGTCTTATTGAATCACCTCTATCATGGGATGCTTCTTAACAAATTACCACTGAGTTAGTGGTTTAAAACCCTATACTACTCATGTTATAATTCAGGTGATCAGAAATCCAAAATGGATTTTATGGGGCTGAAATCCAAGGGTTAGCAGGGTTGGTTTCTACTGGAGGCTTTAGAGGAGAGACCCTTTCCTCCCCTTTCACAGTTTCTGCAGGCTACCTGCATTCCTTGGCTCCTGGCCCCCTTTCTCCATCTTCAAACCCAGCAGTGGCTGGCTGAGTTTTCCTTGTGATATCATCTTTCTCAGACTAACTTTTCCACTTCCCTCTTTTACTTTTGAAGACCTTTTGTGATTATGTTGGGACCCCATTAAAAAATGTCTGATTAGCAACCTTAATTCCATCTCCTACCTTAACTTTTGGAGTCCTGGTGTGGCACTGTGGGCTAACGCGTCAGACTGAAAAGTTGTTTGAACTACAAGGTTGATGGTTCAAGTTCACCAGCTGCTCCTTGAAAATCTGATATAGGGTCACTATGGGTCAGAATCGACTTGACGGCACTTCACAACAACAACCGTAACTTCCCTTATAAAGTGACATAGTCATAGGTTCCTGGCATTAGGGTGTAGACATCTTTATCTACCACAGAAATTTTTCACTGATCACATTATTCTGCTGAGCACACCTTCCTACTGATCCTTCAGTAGACATATCACTCAGGATTAGCGGGCACGCGCTCTAAAGTGGAATGGCAGACAAAGGGGCTGCTGAATTTATAGTAAATTATCTCTTTGTTGTGGCAGAGCATAAGGTTTGGGGTACCAAGGTCTACAAGTTAATCTCTCCATCCTAAGAACCGTAACCACATCTGCAAGTCCCTTCTGTTGTGTGAGACAATACCTTCACAGGCTCAGCCCATGGGCATCTTTTGTAGCCACTGTTAAGTCTATTTTCCTGACGGACGTCCCCAAGTAAGGTCATGGAGATGGGCAACTCACCTGCTCATCAGTGTCTGGGAGGTGGATTAGGGTCGCCCCGCTCTCTTGACTTTGGTGTGTGGTTGGGAGATGGTCAGGTAGACTTGCAGCTGGGGGAAGAGAGTAAAGTCCCTCAGTAGACCTTTATCTTGGTCTCATTAGCTAGAACAAAGTGACGAGTTTTTCTGCTCTAAGGGAAGTTAGGAAGTGAGTGCCTACTGGCTGCATTGGCAGAGAGTGAGAAGCAGCTGGTGAAGACCAGCAGTGGTCAGGACTCCTCTGTGCCCACACGTTTATGCTAATGTGTTTCCCCCTTACAGGCAGAGGCAGATGTGGCCGGAGACAGCAAGCAGCTGCCATTGTGGGGATGGCAGTAGCTGTGTGGACGGGCAGGTGGTAGGGAACTCACTGAGGTGCGTGGCTCCGGGAAGTGGAATGAAGACAGCCACCCCACCAGTAGTCCCCCGCCTGCAGGTGTCGGGGAAGGCCCCTCTCGGCAGGCTTGGCATCCGCCGCAGCACGAAAAGGGACCGGAAGTCTATTACTCTGCATGTGAAACTGGAGGTGCTGCGGAGGTTTGAGGAAGGCGAGAAACTGACGCATATCGCCAGGGCGCTGGGGCTGGCCACTTCCACTGTGGCCTCGATCCGCGTCAACAAGGACAAGATCCGGGCCAACTCACAGGCAGCCACTCCGGTCAGTGCCACTCAGCTGACCCGTTGCCGGAGCGTGCTGATGGGCCACATGGAGCGTCTGCTGAGCCTGTGGATCGAGGAGCAGAAGCGACAGAACCTACCCGTCAGCACACTGCTCATTCAAGACAAGGCTCGCCGGCTGTTTGTGGAGCTACAGCGAGAGCAGGGTGAGGGTGCCCAAGCTGAGACCTTTGGGGCCAGCAATGGCTGGTTCGCCCGCTTCAAGGCGCGCCACAACGTGCTGCTGACAGATGAGCCCGCTGTGGCTGATGCCCAGGCTGCTGCCCGCTATCCCGAGGTGCTACGCCGCATCCTGGAGGAAGGCCGTTACACGCCACAGCAGGTCTTCAATGTAGACGAGACAGGCCTGTTCTGGAAACGGCTGCCGGAGCGCACACTTCTGGCGCTGGAGGAGGCTGTTGGGCCAGGACCCAAGGCGTCCAAGGACCACCTGACCCTGCTTCTAGGTGGCAATGCGGCTGGTGACTTCAAGCTGAAGCCCCTGTTGGTGTACCCTTCAGAGAACCCACGGGCCCTTAAGGGTTGCTCCAAGGCCAGCCTGCCGGTTGTCTGGCGCTCCAACCGCAATGACTGGTTGACGCCCAGCATTTTCCAGGAGTGGTTTACCGACTGCTTCTGCCCGGCTGTTGAAAGCTACTGTGCCCGGCATGGTCTGCCGCATCACGCCCTGCTGCTCCTGGACAGCGCGCCTTGTCACCCCTCCCACCTGGACGGCCTTTCAGCCCATGTGCGTGTTGAGTTCCTGCCCAAAAACACCTCGGCTCTGATTCAGCCCATGAACCAGGGGGTCATCGCTGCCTTCAAGGCCCATTACCTGCGCCGCACACTCAGCCAGCTGGTGCAGGAGACAGCTGGTGAGGACCGGCCTTCTGTGTGGGAGTTCTGGCGCAGCTATACCGTCATGACTGCTGTGGACAACATCGCTGAGGCCTGGGCAGAGCTGCGGCCTGCCACCATGAACAGCGCCTGGAGGAAGCTGTGGCCTGAATGTGTACCTGTTGGTGCCCCCGAACCTGACACCTTGCCCCAGCTCCGCCGCAGCATCATGGCTCTGGCCAGCCACGTGGGTCTTGGTGACTTGGCTGAGGCTGATGTGGCTTGCCTGTTGCAGGCTCACGGGGAGCCCCCGCCCCACAGCGGTCCCCAGGATGCCGAGGATGGGGATGCTGCCTGCTCTGGGCTACCTTGGGAGGAAGGGAAAGGCCTGTCCTCCAAGAGACCAGGGCAGGAGCTCACAGAGGCCAGGGAAAGTGTGGGGACTGAGGAGACTGGCATGGGCGCAGTAAGCCACGAGCACCTGGTCAAGGCCCTATCCCACTTCGCCACTGGTCTGCGGATCCTTGTAGACAATGACCCCAACCGAGAGCGCAGTCTGCGGGTATCTCGGGGTGTCCACAGTGCCCTTGCCCGTCTCCGGGAGCTGCATCGAGACAAAAGGCGGCAGGCTCAGGTGTCTTCGGCAGCAAGGGAGTTGCCGGGATGTCTGCCCCCTGCCCCTCAGGAAGAGCCCACAGTGGACACGCTGGTAGCTGAGGCCTCAGGCCCAGGAGCCCACGCTGTGGCTACCCTGCCAGTTGTCTCTGTGGATTCTGGGTTTGGGGCTGACCTCAGATGAGCTCTGTCCAACGATGTTCTGTTTTGGGAGGACAGACATTGCTCTTTGCCATCTACAGTTTCCATAGATCATGCCTTGTAGCCTTCCAGCAGCAATTCTCACCAAGTGCCGATGGCTTTGTGGAACAGAAGAATGGTTCTCCCTGTTTGGTGAGTGAGCTGTGAAGCCCAGGGATGTGCACTCTGACAGACACACACACCTACACATAGATGACAGTGCTCAGTGTAGCCCCCCAGGGCAGCCGACTAGGGTCCAAGGCTGAGAAACTAGCCTCTCCCCTTTCCCCAGTAGCCTACTCCCTGCCCCATTGTGGTCCTTCCCAGTCAGGGTTCAGCGTTCCCTGCGCTCAGCACCACCCCCCCCGCTGACCTCCCATTACCATCTTCACTCCACTTTGTTGTATTAACTTGTTTGGTCAAGGTTTTTGGTGCCCTCCTTGTGCCTGAATGCTTGGGTGTGTGTTGGCCCTTGTCCTTAGCCCAGTGTGGCCTTTGATACTGGCTACTTCTTCCTTGGTTTCGAAATCTGTTCTTCTCCAGGCTTCTGTGACACAGCCTCTACAGCTGCGCCTTCTGCAACTCTGAGGGTCTCTTTGGGTCTGGTGGTCTTTGAGAAATCCCATGCACTCCTAAGGGCTCAGTGACCCCCTCAGAGTTGGTTTTCAGACCCCTGGCTGCAGCCTATCCTGAGCTCTGTCTCAAGTGGTCAGGTCCCCCTACCTTCCTGACAGCCTTGTCCTATTTCATTCTTGTTTGGTCAGCTGCCACCCCAGCCAACCACATAGACACACAACGTTGGTCACCAAAACATATATCCAGCAAGGGAAGATGTTTGCTTTGTGTTCCAGGTCAAGATGATCCACAGGTACGGATGGAGGTATTAGGGCTCATGACCTTCTCTCAGCATAGGGATCTGTGCAAGTGTCTGTGAACCAAGAAATAAAGATGGCAGAAGAGACTTCAGCCACCTCTGTCTAGGCTAATGGCTGCTTTAAAATAAACACAAAAGAACATTTTGTAAAGCAGGGAAATAAAGTCACGAAGCTTTTGATAAATGTTCCAAAGAGATGCAGAAATACAGAGGTTGATAAAGGCAAAAACTGAAAGTTAGGGGGTGGTTGTTAAGTGCCATCAAGCCATTTCTGACGCAGCGATCCTGTATGGGGTTTCCGAGGAGCAGCTGGTGGGTTTGAACTATCAACTATGTGGTTAGCAGTCCAGTGCGTATGCTACAGTGCCACACCAAACCTCCAAGTTAGGGGGTACAGTTGGGTATTTCTGATAAACATTCACAAGGAGTCCTGGTGTGGCAATGCGGGTTAATACGCTGGATTGCAGAGTCGTTCTGAACCACAAGGTTGGTGGTTCAAGATCACCGGCTGCTCCTCAGAAACCCTATACAGGGTTGCTATGATTTGGAATTGACTCGATGGTACTCAATAACAACAACAACATGCACAAAGTTGCAGTGTTTTAGCTGATTTTTTTTACAGGAATTTCCCTTTTTAAGAAATATTGGGCTTGAGGTGATAAAATATGGCTGACCAGGAATTTCCTGGAACATTTTAAAATATAGTTTATTTCTAAGAACACAGCAGTAAAAGGAGTTAGAGTGTCATTTACTTAGTGCCTCATGACATTGTAGTGGGCTGCTAACTGCACGGTCAGCAGTTCAAGTCCATCAGCTGATCCTCAAGAGCTAGAAGGAGCATTCTGGTCCTGTAAAGATATACAGCCTCAGAAACCCTGTACAGGGTTGCTATGATTTAGAACTGACTCCACGGCGTACAAATGCTACCAGTGCGAACGTTACATACTGGACACCTTGTCTAGTACCTGTGTAAGCTGAATAACCTTGTTTTCACACCAATCATTGCTAACTACAAGCCTGAGATAAACAACAAGGTGTGCAAAACATTTTTCTGTAAGAAGTAAATCGAGGTCAACGGTGCAATGGAAATTTTCAACACACAAAAGGGAGGACACTGAAGGATTTGGTCTAAACCAAAGCCAAACGTTCAGTCATGTTAAAAGTCTTAGTTTATAGAATGCTCTTCCTCAAGTTTATGGGGCTTGCTGGCAACACATTAGTGGCTGGCATTCAGTGAGGGAGTTTCTAAGAGCTCAGCATTGGTGGATCAGATGAGGCTTACGTACTTTGAGAGAAAAGTGGAAGGAGTGATGAAGTTTTCTTTATGACCATTGCGACTGCTAATTCATTACACAAATAATGAGCACTCTAATGTGCTAGGTGTTGGGGAGAGTAGGGTTGGTGGGTGAAATTGACTTCAGTATATGCTAGCCTAGGTTATGATTTATATGACAATGTATTCCAGGAGACGTAGGGACCCCAGTCTAATCGAGGTAGAGGCCAGGTCCCATAGGGTAAAATTTTCCGGAGGCGGTGGTGTCCTAGGCTTCCGAGCATCGCTGGCAGACACCCAGAAAACCAGTTACTTTAGATTGCTTCGCGTCCGACAACGTTGGGGCAGCAGGCCTGAGGAGGGAGGAGCGGATCTGGAGTGTGTCTCAGTGGGTGAGCACCGTCCAGTAGCTGGAGGAGTCGGGGATGGTGAAGAGACGTCGGAATATGAGTCCAGTTTCTAGTGTTGGAGGAGAAGCGGGTTGAGCCTCCAGACTAGCGTGGGGAAGCCTCGAGGTCATGAGAATGCACGCGTGGACCTGTTAGGTTCCTCGGAACTGAAAACAGCGCCCTGAGCTACTTCAGCAAACGCTCTCTCACACGCTCCCGGAACATTATATTTCTTGGCAACCTAGCGGTCGACTACCACCCACAGCGCGGGTTCCAGCTGCCTCCTACGAAACGTAGTTGTGTGCAACCGTGTGGTACAGTTCGCGGACTCCACCGGAGACTACATTTCCCAGCTCGCCCCGCGGAGAGCACATGCTTTCAGCTTCCTGGCCCGCGAGTCGTTGCCATAGAGACACACCCTCGCCTGCCTCCCCCGTCTCCCCCTCCAATCTTCGCGCTCCAACAGGGAACGTGGTGTAGCCCGTGAGAGGAAAGGATAAAACGTCGGAAGTGGGAAACGGTGACTCCGGAAGCTCTCTTTCCTTGGGCCAGAGGGGTGGTCGTTCGTCATTCCCTCGGCTAGGGGCCGATCACGCGACTCGTGGGGGTCGTGAGTCTGGAAGCGGAAAGGCCAAGAGTCCGATCGTGAAAGCCCGGGGCAGGATGTGCTGGCGGGGGTGGGGTGGGAAGAAGCACCACTTTGGAACCCGGGCGGCAAATCCTCCGGGATGGCGGTGCGGGAACCACTGGGATATGGAGTCCGTAATGGGCGGAGCCTGACTCGGAAGTGATTCTTGCATTCAGGCGGGCACCTGTTCACGTCTGATCTTGTTTCTGCTTTCGAACGTTGTGGCTGATGTACCCGAGCACTATTTGTCTCTCCAGCCGGTAGTCCTGGTCCTCACACCCACTGCCGTTGCCTCAGTTTCTGGTTCCTCGTCCCTGCCAGTCTCTTCCTGTATCCTCCACTGGTGTGCATGCTTACTCACCCGATCTGTTTTCTTATCAAGAAATCAACACCCCCAACCCGTTGACCTCTGCCAATTCAGACTCATAGAGAACCCTATAGGATTGAGTAGTACTGCCATATAGGGCTTCCAAGACTGAATCTTTGTAGAAGCAGACTGCCACGTTTTTGTCCCAAGGAGCAAGTGGTGATTTCCCGCCTACGGTCTTTCAGTTAGCAGCCTAGCGCTTGACCAGTGTGCCACCAGCTGCCTTTAAAAGGTCCCTAGCTTCTCTGGGAAGCTTTCCTGGATTTTGGTATTCTGAGCAAGGGACTCAATTTGCCTTAATTGTGCTTGTGTCTCCCACTCGACCCCTAAACACACACACACACACACACACACACACACGCACGCACGCACACACGCACGCGCGCGCGCGCTGCTCTGGCTGTACTTGATCCCCGGGTGTGAAAGGGCTGCCCTTGGGCGTAACCAGCTCCTTTAAAAACATCCATTGACATTAGACAAACATTTTTGTTAAGGTCACAATGATAATACTGGGTTAATGCGTCAGACTGCAAAGCGCTTTGAACTGTAAGGTCGGTGGTTCAAGCCCACCAGCTGCTCCTCGGAAACCCTATACAGGGTCGCTGTGGGCCGGAACCAACTCGACGGCACTTAACAACAACAATGATAATACATGAACTTTTTGAAAAAAAGGAAAAAGTGGGTGTTCTCACCCAGCTACTTTCTCTAGAATTATAAGTGAGATGTTTGTTCCTCCAGACCCTTCTCGAGCATAAACAGTAATACATTATAATAGTAACATCTGTGTAGACACATGGCATGCATTGTTCCCAGGTGAAGAGATCCAAACAACAGAACAAGTCAGATGCTCCTTCACCAAACATGAGGTCCTTCTCCAGTGATTGGTCTCTCCTGATGACATGTCCAAAGTGAGAGAGATGAATTCTCTCCACTCTCATTCAGGTTGTCCTTCATTCAAGACTGAATGTATTCGTATTGCATTGTGTGTTCAGTATTCTTTGCAAACACCACAGTTCAACTGCATTAATTCTTCCTGTGTGTTCTTTACTCATTGTCCAACTTTTGCATGTATATAAAGTGCTAGATAATAATATAGTTTGTGTCTGTAGTTGTTGTTGTGAGTTGCCATCAATTCACTACCAACTCATAACGACCCTCTGCACAACAGAAGGAAACACTGCCTGGCCCTGGGCCAACCAGACAATCATTATTATGTTTGAGTCCATTGATGCTGCCACTGTGCCAATCCATCTCATTGGGGGTCTTCCTCTTTCTCTCTGACCCTATACAGGGTAACTATGGGTCAGAATCCACTTGACGCACTTAACAACAACAATGGTATGGAAATCTAAGATTTCTGGAAAAAGGAGAGGCAGATATTGAAGTGGGAAACAAAGGACAGTTTCCAGGGTGCTAGATCAGAATGCTTAGCATCAGTTCATAATGTGTATATATACTGATGTGAAAACACCA